ATGCCAACAACAACAATGGCAGTATAAATAAGCCCACATCTCCCACGGTCAATAGTATTGGCACCCAAAACGTGCGAAATAGCACCATGGCCCACACTGATAACCAACGCCAAAACAATGCCTCCCTCAATAGTACAAGTGGCAATAGTCAGAACTCGACCACCAACAACTCAGGGTATCCACAGTATGGCACACAAATAAATTTTGATCGGATATATGGTACAAGTCTGTTGGAAACTAACCCACAATGCAGTACACACGATACCCATACAAGGACACAACTAGTACCAAACAATAGGTGGAATAATAAACCATGGTCTCCACAAGGTCCTAATCATTTTTTATCTCCTGCGTCCCTGTCAGCGTTGAAAAAACAGCTGGTAGGGATGTTAACACTCCTAAACCGTTAATGCTGGCTCCCCCTTTGCATGAACATAGGAACAGTCTAGTTCACCCGCATCCATTAAGCACACTTGGTACATGCACAAGTTTAGATCAAATTAAGATCCCTACCCCCGGTTCTAGCTTAACTAAAAATAAAAATGCCTTAGCCTATAGCAAATCCACTACTCCAACGCTTAATTCTTCACCGAAAACAGCACACACCAACCTGATAGACATAGGTGAACATGATGTTGAAACTCCTCTTAACATAGGGTCGTCATGTCAAATAGTACTACTGGGTGCTGAACCATACTCGGGGCTGATTAACGAACTTAAATACTTCAAATGCTACTTCAAATCTCATCTTTACCTGATCCTCATAAATGCTAGAACTGTTCTAAATAAACTGCCAATGCTCAGAGCACTCACAGTAATATACAAACCCCCTATAATTGTCATCACTGAATCCTGGTGTAATTCTAACATACTGGATGAAGAGATAAGCTTAGATAACTATACACACTTTCGGTGTGACAGGGAAGGTGGTAAGGGAGGGGGTTGTCTCATGTACTTTCTGAATGCACTTACCGTATCACGGCTAGAAAGTAGTACACCTAACATGCCTGAGACTTTATGGGTTAACTTACACTTAAAAAACGCAATGGTATTAATTGGATGCACCTACAGAGCACCTGATACCTTTAGTAATTACGATACCCAACATATTAATACTCTGGAACAATTGTCCTCCCTACACTACGATCATAAGATCCTATGTGGAGACTTTAACTTACCAGAAATCAACTGGGAAATACCCACAGGCCCAACTAAATTTTATAAGTTCTTAGGCACACTGGATATACTTGGCTGGAAACAGACTGTCACAACCCCAACAAGAGGTAATAACGTACTAGACTTAATCTTCTGCTACAACATAAGTCCCCTTTCTATCCTAATAGGTTCTGAGTTTCCAGGGTGTGACCACAAAACAGTGCTGTGTGCACTGCCACTTCCGTCAAGTAGCAATGCAGCCCATACCCCTACTTCACAACAAATAACTTACAGGAACTACAGTAAGGCAGACTGAACTCTAGTAAAATCAATGTTAAGATCCTCAGAATGGAGAGAGTACTTCTATACTGATAGCCTCTCGAAAGCTCTAGACATCTTTTACTATAACTCCAACACATGCTTAGATGCTGTCATCCCACTTCAAACACTAAAGTTTTCCCCACATAGAAAGTCATTCATAAAGCCAAAGGATCGTAGGAAACTGAAGAGACTGTACAGTATCTAGGTAAAACTGTAAGACAGCACTCCGTGCAAACTTCTTCATAGTCATGTACTCTAAGATCTGGAACAGTTTACCCCTAGAAATAAGGACCTGTGACTCTATTATAACCTTCAAACGCTTGCTATATAAACTGCTTCATCCCAATGACTACGCCAATCATTACACACTACATCTGAGTGGTCATAACACGCCGTGTTGTAAAGTTTGTATACTGATAATTGGTTATTCTGAAACAGCACATATAATGTGACATTTCTCGCCACCACTAGTTTAGGCGAGTCAAGGTAGAAAATCGAGAAGTCTTGTGGCCATTTTGGGACTCCTCAGGAGCAAGTATCGGTAACCCAACGTCTATGAGGCAAACCCAATACCCTCAGACCGCGAAGTGAGCTCCTTAACTATTCAGCTACTGCGGATGAAATACAAGAGTCCATCAGTCCCAGCTTCCACCAATCGGCGATATATAGCGCTAGTACCAGCCTAATACAAAAGTATCCTTCTTTACACCCCACAAGCGACGACTTCTCACAAGGGCTCCAGACAACTTCATCTTGTAGTCACTCACTAGTGAGTATTGATTTAAATTTCTGGTGTTTGTTAGAGGCAATTTAGTTAATTTTCAATTAGATAAGAGATTCATATGGGTTACAAAACCTCAAATTTTGGTGAGTACTCGATTTCATCCCAGCGTCTTAGTGGCCGGTGATTTTATCACGTAATACGAGTTAAAAACAATATAAGTAAACACTGCTGAAAAAAGTACACGTGGTCACGTGTTTGCTTTCCTAGCATTAATTAGATATTGCACGACTGTGGGAGGATGTGTAATCATGAATTCACATAATCCGGTGGTCTAAATAGGTGAACGTTCCAGAAGAGGCAAAAACAACGGGGATGCGACCAGGCATTTGTCAAAGTCAGTACATGACCACTCATTGGCGGAGATGGAGATGCTGGGTTCACTGAAATTGAACGGATTTCTTTAAAGTCAAATAAAAATTATTGAGTTGCTGGAGAACTCTACAGTTTCTGTTATCAAACCATCACGGGCTGCTCTGGCTGTAATAGCTAGTGAAACTGCTATTAGCGCCGCTGAATTCTAATATAACCCTTACATTTGATACTTTGTTCAGAGGATGTGAAACGAACGATACAAGGCTTTGTGTCCCAACTCAGGTTTTTAACTGGAGGTAGAATCGAGGACCAGATCCGTAGTAGGGAGGTTTTCAGATTTCAGAAGAGTCTGGTGTTAAATCACTAACAGAAATTTAAAAAATGGATGATCAAACGAGTGAAGAACACTACATCAAGTAGAATGTCTGTTAGAGATGAATATCTTGAAGTTTGTTGGCATTCAGATCTCACCTGACCGTTACTAGTAAGAGGCGAAAACCTACTCATAATTAGCGTTGTGGACAGTGATGCTGATTTCGGCTGTGTGCTTAATCTGTTTCAGGGTTTCATTATATCACTGATTAAGACATTAGCATGATTGGGTAAATCAACATACTATTTATTAAACGAATAAATTATATACTATGGGTGGACTGAAGTTGAATGAGTTACATGGCCTAAGTTTGGGTATAATTTCAGAATCTTATGGTCAAGAAATAGGGGAAAGGAGCCCAGTTCTAAGAGGACTTCATCTTATTTGTCAGGTAGTTTGGCATATATGCATAGTCGGTCCCCAAAATGGTGTTCACCTTGAGAAATTAGGTGACCTTAAACATCGACATCCAAGCACCATGTCACTAAAGTAATTTAGGTTATTATCATGATGATCAGGGACATGTTGCTGCCGTACTATGTGTTGTCAGCTGCTGTGGGGATACACTGTCGCTTTAGAAGCCTATCGAATAGCTGGTGAGTAGAGTTGAGAGTATTTTGCCTCCAGCAACGTTCACAAAATGTCTGCCAGGAATATTTACTCGGGTCTGTGCTCCTTCCCGACCTTTCACTAATGGAGGCTGTTAAAAAGATAATATTCTCAAATAAAGTTTCATCACATATATATTTATCTAGCTAGACAGAGAGCCCATTACAAATCCCAAGGCCTAGTGTCTTCAGAATTGTGACATTTTCCAAGCACTGTCGGCTTATGAGCCTCTCATTCAGTGTAAAACTCACACCAGTATATTGCTGAAGTTCACATTCTTTGATGGGCTGGAAAGTTTCTTGTACATGGAATGAGTTTGGTAACCTATATCCGAGTCATTGTAGTTACCAAAATCACCAAGTGACACATTAAGTGAGACGTCAGTTTCCGTCCAGCATATATTTAGTAAGCGAAATGGCGAGCAAGTAAAGCGGTGAAGCCCACTTAAACACATTCACCATTCGTTGCCATTCTAAAGAAAAAAGATTTACAAAGGATTAAAGAGGTGTAGCCCTTTCTCGGTAGCTCAACTATTCTTTCCACATTAATGAATCTAAAATCACCCACTGAGCGACGTCAGCATTTGCAATGACTCCTATGGGGTATAGGTATCATACAGGACACTTGGCCCGATAATGCTACACTATGGTTTGATTATATTAGACTAAACACCCCTCTGAAGCCACTGATGCACAGAAGATCCTGTCTAACTGTAGCGCGTACTACGTATGAGGCACCTTGGGAGGGACAGACGGACAGCTGAAAAACACCGACAAGAAAAAACGCAAGTTGTGGATAACCCTGGGAATAATCTAGTAATTAGCAGAAAACGAAGGGCAGAACGCACTTAATTGAGTATGGAAGATTTTATTTAGAAGCTGAGAAAACAAAGTTTCCGATCTCCTGAATATCCTTAAAATCATTAGCTATGCACTCGCCTATGGTTTTTGTTCTCTTCATTACTTCTGATAATCCAAATACAACAATCATTAATAAAACATCATGCGCCATGTTGCCTATTTGATGGCCACTTATAAGGAGACTGCTCAAACGAGTATGGAAATAGTAGTGAAACAGTCAACGTAGGAACTCCGGGAGTTTCTGAAATGGTCAACTTAGACATGACTGTTGAACATTGGCTTAAGCAACCACCATAAACTATTGACATGTATACCAAGCTCTCAAAAACTATTGAGCGAAATTCAGGTCTTAATATATTCAAAAATCGCCTTCCCCAGAGTCCAATGTCCGCTAAGCTTCATATTTCCATTTGTTTACTAGATACAAAAGTTTCATGGAGGGTGTTGACATACCCTCAGTCATTCTAATCACATATGAAAAAATTAGTGGGATATTAGCTGCATAATGGTGTTTATTAATTGTGTCTACCGAAGATTTAAAGTCTGAGGAGTTTTTTACTGTAGTGAATCAAATCCCAGATAGTGCTTGTTATACTAATACATCTAATGAAGTACAAAAACTGCGCGTCATTTGGTTTCCCGAAAAATGTTCATAATGTCCACAGAACTAATAACAGCCCACCGGTGTTCTGAAAAATACATTTTTTAGTTGTTTGGATTTTACAAGATACTCTTAAGGCAGGAATCAGTGCATAGGAGTGAAAAGTTGTCAGCGTGACTTAAAATTTGAATCAGAGGAGTAGTCTATAATAAGAAAAATTTTCTGCGTAGACAAACACTATAAGTAACAACTAACATACTCGTTCTTTGTGAGAGATCAAACACAGAACTGCTGAAAAGTTACATAAGATACTTCAAAAATGTCAGGCAATGTTGGGATGGAACAGCTTATCCCGCTGGTCAACAGGCTGCAAGATGCATTCTCCTCCTTGGGAGTTCCACTTAGTTTGGATTTACCTCAGATTGCCGTAGTTGGGAGTCAAAGTGCAGGGAAAAGTAGTGTTTTGGAAAATTTTGTTGGTCGGTAAGAGTTGGTGCGCTTTTTTATACATATATTTATTAGGGACTTCCTTCCTCGAGGTAGTGGAATTGTTACACGTCGACCTCTTATATTGCAGTTAATCAACTCTCGAAATGGTAAATTAAGCTTTCTAACCTGACTATCTTAATAGAATATGCTGAGTTTTTGCATTGCAAAAATAAACAGTTTACAGACTTTGACGAGGTTAGGAAAGAAATAGAAGCTGAAACTGATAGACTGACGGGAAGTAACAAAGGCATTTCTAGTAACCCTATTAACCTTCGTGTATACTCTCCCAATGGTAAGTTCATATATGTTTGTAGAAATTTTCCAGTCAGTGTTTATTTATTTATATCATTTAGTTTAAGACATTAAAAGCATTTAGCCCTATTCTCACTAGAAATCTAGGGTCTGTGCTATTTTATATATTTCAGACAAAATCTTAAACATAGTTTGGTGGTTACTATTGTTTATTCGATATAGTTGAGTGTTTGAACTAATGAACTACAAATCTACCTATTCATAGTGTCTGGCTCGCTTATTTTGAGAGTAGAACTTGACTTTTGTTTCAAACTGTTTCATATAGTCTGTATCCACTTTTTTTTCGGATTGGTATTTTTATAAGTTAATTATTATGGTTTCCACCCATATTTCTTCTTGTTTATTGTGGCTACGTGAACATTTAAGCTGCAATTGATTTTATTCTTGAAGTAGGATTTGAATATAAATGATTTCTGATCATCATCGTTCTTACAATAACACTCGCTTACGCTCAGACAAAAACCCATCGTATTGAACATGTTTTAAAGATACTGAGCCACTCCGTCTCTAAAACGGAGTGTTACCTGAGGTGGTGTTTAATCGGGAGAAGTCTGAGGGTGGACAGATAAGGAGGAAAAACAATGGACTCGCTTGGGGTGTACAATCGTTGACCAAAAGCCCCAGAACTTCACTAGCGAGCTAGTGGTACCAAAAATAAATACACTTTAATAATAAGATATACTGAATATGAAGGACAATGGAAGTAGAATTCGTTTCTATCATTTATTGTAGTCTTAACCAGAACATAACATCGTCTCTTAAAACTTCTGACTGTTGCTCTAAGCCTGATTTAGCATCAGTCAGTGGGTTGGACTATAGATGAAATGATATGAAACCTTCACACTGCACAGTATCACATGAGATTTCACCTAAAATCCAAGTGTTTGGATCATAATATGTGATCTACTCAACAGCATAAGTCCTATCAAACTTGCGAGCATAGAGACTATACGATATAAATTCCTCTTCGGTAGGCTACATTGTAGTTGAAATTCTTCTAGTCTCTGAAGGAGATTACAATAGAGAGCCGCTTCACAACACTTGACTTCAGTTGTATTTTTGCTTTATCAAATAATCCGATTAGGTAATAAACAATAGTGAAAACTATCGTCTTAGTAAATGTCGAAACTCTACCGTAGGCATTTCAAATTTTGAAGTTATTTATATGATTGTGTTATGCTACTGTTTTTATGCAGCAGTTAACCTTGTATCTAAGTTTTAAGCTTTGTTTCAATACATCTATGTTGCATTAGTTGGTGCGTTAATCACGTTATATATCAAGTGTTTTACTAAAATACTCGAATACAGCCTATTCTTAGCATTGTTAATTTATTTGTTAGATTCCATATGCATAATTATCTTGACTGCTATTAAAACAACTTTCCGGGTGTTAGGGTTTCACACTACACGCATTATTTAGAAATACATAACCACGTCATTTGGTGTCCTATAACGGATTCATATCTCTATGGGTTAAATTCTATGTTTTCTTCACAAAAGTAAAGAGTTAAGGCTTAAAATCATTTAGTGGAAATTAAATCTTATCCAAATGTGTTCTTATTTAGTTTTTTTTCTTCGTCAGTATCAGTATTATTTGTATCCTCCTTCCTTTTATTTTTTGTGATTTTCTTATGTTATTTTTTATGCAGTATTTCTTGGTGTATCTGGTTTATAAATAAATAAGCTAAACTCAATTATCTGAGTGAACAATAAATTCACACTTCTTTCAAGATGCAATAATTTCTCTGCTGAGTGTCTTTTCATATTCCACTAAGTTATGGGAAAATAAATTATTGACTATCTCTCATAAACACTTGACACTTAATTAGCCATAAGTAGAGTTAACTATTATGTTTAGCTTGTTTAGAATAGGCGCTATGACTTAGCATGAATATAATGAAGGTATATTTGAGTATTCTTGGGAATTATTATTATTATTATTTTACTCCTTCCAGTTCCCAGTGGAACATAGGGCTTCAAGCTGGAGCTTTTAAGTTTCAGTAGCAGTGGTTTTATTTTCACGGGGTCGGGTTTCTAGCCTCACACCCGACCTTTCCTCTTTACCGGCCTTACTACTGGCTTAGCTGGGTTTAGGAGTGCGTCTACGGAGGATCGAACCCCGGACCACATGCGTGATTGGCAAGCGTCCTACCGCTGAACCACCGACGCACCAAAAGGCTCTAGTGGACGGAGGGGGCCTCGCCGAAACTGAGGAATTAACTAACTACTACTTAAGTTGGGTAAAGAATTTAAATAATCCACATATTTTATTTTGGAGAGTTTTTTAGCATCATTAGCTGTTATACAATCTTTAAAATAGTTTAAAACTGCTTTTCACAACGAATTAAGGACATATATGAATTACAACATAAAGTCATTGTTAAGAGTTTATTTGGATTAAGTTTGCACATAAACGCTCAGACTACTTAAGATAGTCTTAATGTTGACTTAGTCGGTTGGGGAGGGGGTGATGTTAGTTGAAGTTCTTGGGTTGTCAATATAGCAATCTACTGACCCTGATATGATGTTCAGCAACTTACGAAACGTCTTTGTACTTAAGCACTGGTTCTATCCTAGCAGTCATGTGAAGGACCGATTTGTAACTATTCATTCATCCTAAAAAGCTTTCTTATCTGTGGCGTATATATATATATATATATATATATGACCAAAAGTTACAATAGTACAGATGTGTTCACTGTTCATCACCTGCAGAATTCTGAGGGGTCTGTATTCATTTGTTCTTCCTATTACACACGTAAACATGTTCATTTTGGCGACATCCCATTTCTGTCCACTTTAATTGTGTTATGGTTTAAAGTAGCCTGAAGTTGTTTTATAGATCTTCTTGCATTGGGCTATCAGTCAATTGTTACATAGCTGTTTAATCAGACTCCATACCTATTCTCTCAGTCACACGTCGACAACGCATGTGCGCATCCTACTATATGGCTACATAAACAATGATTGCACCTGCAATTTAGTTCCAGTTGAACTAAAAGCAACGTATTATTATTACTATTTCCTTTAATTCCTAGAGGAATATAGGGCTTCAGCTGCACGTCTCCACTGCGTTCGGTTCTCCGCCAACGTTTTCACCTGGCTTCACGTCTGCCCACATGCTTTCATCTCCTCTTCACATGACCTCCTCCACTCCGTGTCACCCTCGTACTGTCGACCAAATAACTCGCCACTTCCCATTCGGGTTCCACTCGAACAATGGCCTGGCGTATGATGTCACTCACTTGATGATTTGTTTTCTCGGAGTATGGCCAATCCACCTCCATTTCTTCCTGCATATTTGTTGCACAATTGGTTCCTACTGGGTTGATTCGTTCATTGCCGGAGATCCCTCTTTGTTGCTTATCTTTTCTGACCGGCCACCTGATCTTGAGTATTGAGCGAAGACAGCTGTTGGTGAAAGTTTGTAGTTTTTTCGAAGTGCCCTTCGTGACTCCCCAAGTCTCTGGTCCGTATAGCACCACTGACCACACTGCAGTTGAAAATCCGGTTCTTATTTTCATTTTCATGCTGAGTCAGTCCTGTTGATCTCCACACAGACTTGAGAGTAATGAAAGCTTGCCTTGCTTTCCGGATCCTCGCTTTGATATCCTCGTCAGTTCCGCCTGTAGTGGAAACGATGACAATACGCGGTGATATCAATAATTTATACTAGGAAAGGGAAATTTTGTTGTTAAATTGGTTTTATTATTATTCCCTTAGGTTCCTAGTGGAACATAAGGCCTCAGCAGCACATCTTCATTACACATTGTTCTCTGCAGTCCTTTTTAGCTGACTCCATGACTGCCTGAAACCCTTCAATTCCTCCTCACACTATCTCTGCCATGTCACCTTTAGACTCACACGCAATTAGTCGCTTCCTATTCAGGTTCCACCCGAGGGCCTGGCACGTGGCGTCGCTCAGCAGTCTTCTCAGCGTGTGTCCAGTTCATCTTTATTTCCTTCTGTGTATGTGTTAGGTGATCGGTTCTTGGTTGGTTTGCTGCCAGAGTTCGAACTTGTCTTTATCATATCTCTATGCCCTACGTTCTTAGCTAAATCTTACTTGCAAAGCATTGTATTCATTGTTCCCCCCTTTGGATATTTCTGTTCTAATTAAATATTTGCGGGTTTTGCACTTTTAACTTTTAGGCAGTGACGTTTAAAATATCACTATTTATGCCATTACTTGCCTACAGCTTATTGTACAATCGTATCGCGGTATCTTCCAACATTTTATGCCTTATGTATGCAAAGCGTTTACTAATTATTGTGATCTAATTGAATTTATTTTATTTTCATTGTTTCTTTCAGTCCTTAATCTAACACTAATTGATTTACCTGGAATGACAAAAGTTCCTGTTGGTGATCAACCACCAGATATCGAGGTTCAAATTAGATCAATGATTTTGGAGTTTATTACACAAGAGAATTGTTTAATTTTGGCAGTATCACCAGCTAATTCAGATCTGGCTAATTCAGATGCATTAAAATTATCCAAAGAAGTTGATCCTCAAGGTTTACGCACAATCGGTGTGGTAACAAAGTTGGATTTAATGGATCAAGGTACAGATGCTCGAGATATTTTAGAAAATCGTCTCCTGCCGTTGAGAAGAGGTAAGCGTGTGGAATTTGTGTGACTTTTTTAAAGCTTCAATATTTGACTTTTATAGTGTGAAATTGTAGTTTGTTAATTAAGGTCAGGTATATCTCGGTATCTCGGTATTTTAATCCTAATTGTTAGGATACGACACAACCTTAAAACGGTTGATAATAAGTAGTATGAATATGAAAGAGTAAACTCAATACTGTTTTGTGAGTTTTCTTTTCTCAACATCTGGCCTGCAGGCACACTTTTGATTCTAATTCTTTTAAAGTGTAGGTGGACTGTGTGTATGTAGAGTGGTGGTGGTGTTGTATCGGTCGGTTTTCGACATAGAACTTTGCACATATGTGTGGTAGTTCAAGTCGCCAAACTCCATGTAGCACACAAAGCAAGAGAAGAAAGTAGGAGAAATGCATAATAAAGACAGTAAACAGAGGTGTGAGACAAAGATGTAGTAATAACGAAGAACAAAACAGTTTAATTGGAAATCATAAGTCACAAGGAGTGGATGCATCTGCGCCATCACTGAGAACGATTTTGAGCCATGTCACCAATTGTTTCCAACCATTGGTTTTTACCGTCCCGAGGACCCCGACCAGGAAGTCTACATCTTCCTACGTGGCTTAGACTAGCTGTTGTAGATTTCATTGACTGGTACCATGTTTTCGTTTGACCGCCGCTAGCTCTTTTCCAGCCTGGCCCTATATCAGCTAACATTGCCCGTCGAGGAAGGCGATAACTAGGCATACGTGTTGCATATGGATTTGAGGGTAATTATGCAGGATATATGCGGTACAGAGGAATTCTGATATTTTTTGCAGATAGTCATTAAATTATGCATGCAATTGGATTTTTACACACTGGGAGCTTTTGCCAACTGCACAAAATCCACCCACTTGTTAAAATTGAGGAGTGCCTGTAATTCGAATGCTCAGTTCCGGAAGGTTTAGGCTTTATTGTTTTGGTTGAGATTTTGTGTTGAACTAAAGCATTTTAATATTATCTAGTTTCTTTATAGTGGCAATAGTTTACTCAACTTTGCATTGAGCAACTGACCGGCCTTAGCAGTTGCTACGTATTCATCAGTAGAGCGGTTGATGGCAAAGTCTATTGACCAGGGAGATGTCCGACTATCTATCAGAGAGAAAGAGAGACTATATTTCACTTTTCAACTACAAGGCGTTATCTCCGAAAGTAGAAAACTTGATTTTTCTGGAGTATCGCTTACTGTAAGTAAGGAGTCAAAATTAAGCAAAGTGCGTTAGATAAGGGAGGCAAGTCATTTGATGACATCAGGTGGGCATTCAAAGCCACAACCTTCCTCTTTGAACAAAGTTTCCCTAGGTAGCGATTGGTTGGAAGAGAGTCAGGAGTAGTAGTTACATCAAAGACGATAAAAATCTCTAGGGATTTTACCTTTTGGTTTATGCTATACATGGATGCGTGGGTAGTCCAATTAAGATTTTAAGAATTAATGGCTGGTTGCACAACTGGAAATTGTCTACAGTGGTACAGATGTATTTTGTCTTCGGAATTTTTAAAATTCTGAACACTGTCCATTTTATTATCATTTGTGTCTCTGTTTATTTATTTCATGCGTGACATTGTAGGGTGTGGCAAATTCATTCGCCAAAATATTCACTTTACACAGTTTGAGGTGAAGTTTCACCATGGTTTCCTTTTTGGAACCGAAATTATTCAGATCACAAAATGTAGTCTGCTTGGTTACCATAAATGGCAATCAAGAAAGCAGCATTAGTGCGTATGCTATATACTACTGATTGATTGAGATGAGTAGTTGAACACCACTCATATCAGCCAGTAGTGCGTGCTGTCTGGCTTCAACATAGAACTTTGCACCTGTGTGCAGCAGTTCGAGTCGCCACACTTCACTCAGCACACAAAGCAAGAGAAGAAAGTAGAAGAAATGCAAAATAGAGGCAGTAGACAGGGATGTAAGACAAAAGGAATAGTAATAACGATGAACAATATAGTTTTATTGGGTATTATAAGTCACAAGGAGTGGATGCATCTACTCCATCACTGAGAACGATTTTGAGCCATATCACCAATTGCCTCCAGCCGTCGTTTTTACCGTCCCGAGGACGCCAACCAGGAAGTCTACACCTTCCTACGTGCTGGCTTAAACTAACTGTTGTGGATTTCATTGACTGGTGCCATGTTTTGATTTGACCGCCTGCTAGCTCTTTTCCAGCCTGACCCTATGTCAGCTAACATTGCCCGTCTAGGAAGGCGATGACTAGGCATACGTAACACATGCCCTAAGCATCTCAGTCGGTGTAACTTCACAACCTCGTTGATTTATTTCCCCTCCTTACCTAGCACTCGACGCCTAACCTCAATATTGCTCACCCTATTATACCATTTCACATGGAAGATAGAACGCAGAGCAGTGCTTTTCAGCTAGATAGAAATGATCCAAACCGTCGAACAGCCGTTTCACTAGTTCGAAGTCGGGCTTATCGACAGTATATCCAGATTGATTCAGCTCAGACATCTGAATCAGTTGAAACCACCCGAATTGTGGCTTGCTACTTGGGTGTGAACTGGTAGCATATTACATCAAATTGGCAATTTGTAATTTACCACACAGTTCGAGCAGTGAAATTTTTGTCATAGTTTCCTTTGGAATCCGAAATTATTCATATCACAATCTGACTAGCATTCACTACTGGTTGAAGTGATTTTGGTGGTATCCAGGTAGTCGTGGCAGTCATTCAGTGATAGTATATATACACCGTCATGCGTGTAGCAACTGAAACTAATATATTTAAGTGCAGGATTCTAAGTTGATTTGTCGGTTCTCTTTTTTTCTGTTAAGACTCTTGATTTTAACTGTGAGGGCGTATTTAGTGCACATATTAATGCCGAAATGTTGTTGATGATAAGAGAAGTGAGGGTGACCAGGCGGAGATACTTCCCTGATTAATGATTAATCCTTGTTTGTTGACCAGAGTTGGGTAAAGCAATGTGTGAGTAGATTTTTATCCTGAAGCCTGCTTAACTATAGGAATTGATAGCTTGAGTGTTTCAATGGTGTACCTCAAAATTTGTAACCAATGATGTGCTAAATCCTCCTTCGGATCTTACGGATGCTATTATTAACACGTATCCACGTATATCACTTCACTTAGCTTTTCTTCCACTAACTTCCCTTCTTAATGCGTTGAAGTGGATTTTTGACTGTAATTGAATATGCTATTATGTCATGCATCGATGATATTTCTGATTGTGGTCGACTGGATCATGTCACGAGAAGACAGGAATATGTTGGACCGATAAGAAGACTCTAGAACATCTAGAATTCGGTTGGGAGGGGATTTATGTTTAATGTTTCGTAAACTCGAAGATCTCTAGGCGAAAACCAACAAGCTGGCAGAATAAGCAGGCAGTGAAGACAGGACTTCAAGGGGACATAGAGGAAACAGAGGTGATGAAAATATGTAACTGACAATAATGAGTACCAGTCACTTCCAGTGGAATAAATTTGAAGATCACCCCTTTCGCTTATCTCTCCAGGGTGGCATCGTTTCAAGTACAGGCAGCACAGATGAAGATGTCAAATCCAAGGTCAGAAAAGCAAGATAAACCTTCATTATTCTGAAATTAGTGCGGAGATCTACTGCATTCAGTATTGAGAACAAGATTCGTGACATGGAGGAGATAGTGTCGTGGAGCAAGCTCAAGGGTACCCAAGGGAATAATACTGATAATGTGTTCTTATAGCAACTATTTCAGCTAATATTATAACCACGGTACATTTCATTCTGTCTGACATTACCAACGGTTGATTATCTTTCATTCCTGCTCACAGTAAACTTGTCACTATTATTATTTTCAAGAGTTGATTTGTTTTTCAAGTTTGACCACGGATTGATATCATTTAGAGAACCGTAAAACACTAACAGGAAGTCCTGGACAGCTGTTTCATCCCAGTTTGGGACTCACCAGCTATACGCACCCACTGGTTGACTTGCTACAAGATGGAGTTTCCTGGATTTCTAGTGAGAAGTTGTGACCAGTGAGGTCCATCCAGTCGGGAGCGAGGATGGATTTCCCGCTGATGACATTGGCTGATGCCAATTGCGCTAATATCACGAATTGGTAGAAGTTACAATTCATGGGCTGGCCATTCAGTCGAGTCCCAGTTGTTGAGTGGTTTACGAGCTTGCCTTGCAACCGAAATCCAGTGGATGCGTACTGCTGATGAGTCCCAAACTAGGATGAAACAGCTGTCCAGTACTCCAGTGCTGGTTTTCAATGGTTCTCTAACTGATATCAATTCGTGGTCTAACTCGAAAAACTATTATTATCATTATAATTTTTTATCCCTCCAAACCTAATTTTATGCGGTTTTCTTCTAGTGGAGTTTTTCTTATTTATACCAAAGTATTATCCTTCTCTATCTCATTTCTTCCTCTTTTGTATCTCTCTCTCTCTCCTTCAACTTTTTCATCATTCTCATCTCTGTTCATTTTCCACTTGTTTTCTCTACTAATAATAGTTTGTAACTCTTCTCATTGTTCATTCCCTCTCTCTCTCTCTCTCTCTATCAGTTCAAATCAATAAGCTCAAAATTGATTTCAATCATTCTGATGATTGGTTAACCAATAGAATTTCGTCCAGCTTATATATATATATATATATACTTTGGAATTTCATTCCTACCAAGTTATCGATCGATCTATGTAACTCTTATATTTATATTATGCTCTCATATAACTTCTCTCTCTTTCCCTTCATATATTTACTTATACTCATGCATTTCTTCCTCTATGTGTTCATTTCACTCTTGTTGTTATAATAATAGTGTATATACACAAGATGCAGAGTATAGTGAATTTTGATTTACCAACTGGCGAATTTATTAATTTTTTTTGTTCAATGGGGAAAAAAGCAGTTTCTCCAAAACTGAGTTACATCACATAACGTTACACTACAAAAATTGGTAGTGTATCTGACGTTAATTAATTCCAAGTATTAATTCAAG